AAGTAGCCAATAGCAACAATAAAATCACCCCAACTGTTAAATACTCTACAAGGCTGATGGACTCATTAGAACTCCTGTAATTGTGGAGAGCAGAATGTTGCTAGTTTGAAGCCAAATTATTTTGTGCTGTCTTTAACCCCGTAAATAGATACTTATTGCCCATCTCTGTATTTGAACTAGCACCCTTGTGACTATCAGGCAAGATCTTTTTTGAAACATACAAACTTTAATTTCTACAAATCCAAAGACTAAAAATATTATCAAATAGCATCTGAGGTCTGTAGCTATAACCTGTGGACCAGATGCTCCCACCAATGGATTTTTAAGATACTTTCATTGACTTTCTTCGTTCTGTTACTATCAACATTTCATGAAACTGTTACCCTCTTGGAGTAAGATGTTCAGAGCAAGCTGAACCTGTGTTCCTGGGCAGTGGTCACTCATACTTGGCTCTCTGGAATAAACTCTTATTCTATTTGTGGTAAAAATTGTGATTCTGCAATGACACTGAGTAGCCTGGCAAATTCAACCTCTTTAAATATCTCTTTCCACTTCTGTAAAATGGGTATCATGGCAACACAGCCTGCTAGAGTGAGGATCAAGTGTAAAAACACAAAATGTATTCAAACTTCTCAATAAATGGCAGCTATTACTCGCCTTTTCCTTTATCTCTAGAAGAATTTCAAAATTCAACAAACTTTAACCTCATTTTAATTTTACATCTCCATACAATGTTAGCATTTTTACTCTCTACAATTCTTAAGTAAGAAGCTGCAATTCAACACAGCTTATACCTTGCCAAGGTTCATAAAGACCCAAAGTCCTAGAAGAGGAATAGGGGTATCTATAGAAACTTCTCTTTATCACTATCTACTATAGTAACCAAAGCTTTTTTCTACCAAAAGTACAGAATAAATTGTTCCCATCACCCCTTGACTTCTGTAAAAATTTCCCACAGTTAGAATATAAAACAGAATCTAAAGAAAACAATAGCCAAACCTGTAAACCTAAAATAGACCTGGCAGTTGTGTTTTGGGTAGCCAATGCATACGGCACCAGCAGGACACTGAAATATACAGGAACCTCTTCTCTGAAGACAAGTTTTCAGTAGCCTATCAACTCAGCAGATTAGAGCAGGCAGAAAGAACAGAAGGAGAGAGGGCTGAGCAGTTTCCACCAAAGAAAGCTTAGTGTCAAGAACATCTACTGCTGCCAGACTAACTTGCCCAGAACTGGACTCAGAATAAAGACAGTTTCGGATAGCTTTCTACAGTAATAAGAGCCATCAGTTTCTGAGAGCTTATAAGACCATTCATACTGTTCCAGACTGTATACATGAACTTATTTCTCTTTACCATAGCACCGAGGGGGGGGGGTGTAGCGGGCAAGGTTAAGAAATGAAGACTCAGAGATGCTGACTGAATTACCCAACATGACACAGCTAGGGCTATGAGTATAATCAGGACAAAGACTTCAATATTCACTCTACCATTCTTCCTTGGTAACAAAATGTCACCTTTTAGTTTGCCATACCATAGCTTGGAGAAATGATTGAATTCTGCCTCATGAAACCTAAGTGGGAATTCTGGAGAGATGCCTTAAAATAGAGGGGTGTATCTTTCACTGCAATGTCTGTTATCTTAGAAGTTCGAAGTGCTGGCTAAACCAGGCAATGGTGGTGCATGCCTTTAGTACCAGAGCTTGGAAGGCAGAGTCAGGTGGATCTCTGTGAGTTCTAGACCAGCCTGGTCAACAAAACAAGTTCCAGGCCAGCCTGTTACACAGAGAAATCCTTTCTCAAAAAAAAAAACAAAACAACAAAAAAAGACATCCTGGCTAGACTTCAGGGGCCATCTCAGTTTGTAACAAAAATAACAGAGAGGAGCTATCAAAAGCCAAGATAAACCTTCATGCTTCCTTCAATCTTAGACTGCTTACATTCAGACATCATTTACATGAGGGAGAAATAAGCATCCATCCTGTATGAACTGCTGCCAGTTTAGGATTTCAAATTATTCCATCACTTTATGTAGCTGAAGTTATTCCCAACATAAATACTGATATACTATAATACAATCTCCTCATCACTTCTTTAGTGATGCCTTGTTATTAGATAAAATTAATACACTTCATATCATACATTGATTAAGTATTTTGTGTGTGTGTCAATTATCCAATAGGCCCTGTGTTAGGTGCTGGAACACAGTGAAGACTAACATATACTACTAGACTTAAAGAGTTTATCACACAGAGAAAACAGACCTAACACTGACATAATAACCAGTATTATGGGTTACAATAAATGCATAGCGATTGTTGCTATGGCAGCATAGAGAAGATGTATCAAACATCATACCTACCTATTCAATCCTTCCCATCTTTCAAAGTATGCCTCAAATACCACTTTCTCCAATAAACCATTCCTGGTGTCATGCCTCTGGCTAAAACCACTTTCTTTCTCTAAACTCTCTAAACAGCATGTCATTCTGTTTGTAATTCTTCTCTACACTTGGCCAAAAGGCCAAAAAGCAACTGCTTACACCTCTCCTCTAAATACTCAAACCCACAAGAAAGCAAAACTATATATATTTTTAGATCAGTTTTATTTCCCCCTAATACAATGTTGTCTTGCACTCTTATAATGAGTCACTCTCTCTCTCTCTCTCTCTCTCTCTCTTCTCTCTCTCCTCTCTCTCCCCTCTGTCTCTCTCTGAGGACCTGCCTCCCTTGGACCAGGCTTTTGTATTTCTCATCTCTACCGCACATACCAGAACTAAAGCTTTGTTCTTTGACTACACTCTGCCTTCCATTCAGAGACATCCTTGAGTACCTGTGCTCATTGTTGCCACCCAACAGTTCAGCTACAGATTTTGATATTAAAGTAGTCAAGAGGAAGAAGTGCACAAAAGGATGCTGCCATTCTCAATTTGAGACTAAAGTGGAACCAAGCCATCCTCTTTACCTTCAGCTTTCTCATCTTCTGATAAATACTTGAAGATCTACTATGTACGAAATGCTTCACACTATTACTAATATATTAGAAAAGGAAAAGAAAACCTATCAAACAGAAGATATCTGAAAGGATAGAAACAATAAACAATATATATACACCCATGTGTATATATATTGTTGCTATGGCAGCATAGAGAAGATGTATCAAACATCATACCTACCTATTCAATCCTTCCCATCTTTCAAAGTATGCCTCAAATACCACTTTCTCCACATATGCATATGTATATGTGTATACATATGCATAAGTTACTGAGAAAAAAGATAGATAACATAATACTAAGTATACTTGTTTGATCTGATGGTACATCACAAAAGAGGAAATACAAAAGACACTCAGAAACCAAAGGAATGCAATTAAAACCACAATATGAAACCATTTGTTACATAATCACCAGACTTGGAAAAACTAAAAATACTGTTAATATCAAGTGGTGGTGAAGATTCAGGGCAACAGGAAACACCTTCATAATTATGCAAATTAGAACCACTTGGGAAACAGGTGGTAACAATGGGTATTATTTCCACTTAAATATAGGAAAATGGGTATTAGGAGGCATGACTGAGAATGCTTGCACTTGCACTATATTTTTGAGGAGATGTGTCCTTTTGGTTTTGTGACAGGATTTTCCAAACTCACTATGGACACTGATTGACACTGAACTCTGATCATCCTACATCCACCTCTGGAATGCTGGGATTACAGACATGTACCACTAAGTTACACCTGCATTAGTTGTAACAGCAAGAAATTCCAGAACTTGGAAACAAGTCAAATGTTCATGTATATATATTAACTTGTGGCATAGCCATAAAATAGAATTCATTATACCAATAAAAAAATAAATTGCAGCCAGTCAATGGATGAATCTCACACATATTTTTTAAAAAAATGAATCAAACTCAAAATACTGCATCACAATAATGTAAAAACTATAATGTCAAATTCAAGTTTAGAAATGCATACAAATGCTGTAACACATAAAGATAAACAAAAAAGTATTATCTCAAAGTCAGGAAAATGGTTACCAAAAGAAGACACAGGAAACAGGTCTGAATAGTGTCAATTACCAGTAATAACTATTTCTAATCTGAGTGGAAGTCTCACAAGTATTTGCTTTGTAGTTATTTGTTACACTGCATATTTTGTACACTTCTGAATGTGTATTTTACAATAAAAATAAGAATAAGGGAAATATCAATACGGAGTATTTTCATTATCAAAACATTAGTTATTCTGAGACCAGTGGTTGTAAGACTGCTTAGGGAAACAAAAGCCATAATATGACATTTACCAACTCTCACTACTTAGTGAATACAGCACACAGAAAAACTGTTCTCTTATTGACACAGCTATCCACTGTATACATAAAAGGCAACCCAAATGAACCAACAAATACTTACTAAATGTCTACTGCTGACAAAAACAAAAACAAAAAACAAAAAACAAAAACCACAGGTCCAAGATAATACATCCAAGTCTAGACAGTAGACATGAAAACCTCCCTCCACACATCAATTTAGCCTTCCAGCTATACACCTTCTTACTAAATCTGAAAAGCAAAGAACCTAGGCCAACTCGGGGCACACAGCAAGTCATTGTCTATATCACCACTTGGTTTTGTCAAGAATCATGGTTTCTCATTTTTTCAGGTAGGCAGGGTTGCCACATCAAGAGCCCTAAGTCAAAACACTGATCCTAACAATGGTGATGATGTGAAAACTGGCCTAAATGGTGTCAAAATTCTCAAGGAATGCTCTATCTGGGATCCAGGGAGAAGTGATTTGCAAATTTTCAGAAATTATACCCAAGATTTTCTGTGTACTTGTTTCAGATGAGAATCGACAACTTGACAATTTTAACCAAAATGGTAGAGTAGGCACTGCTCCCAACAAGAGACATGAAAATGAATATGGTCACAGCTACCATGAGTTGAAACAGGGGTCCTCGTCCCCTTAGACACATGTTCTGAATGCCCAATACTCACTCTCAGTTCTTCGAAGGCCTCATCTAGCGTGGACAGCTGGTGGCCCCGGTGAGCCCCAATGACTGGACACAGGACACAGATGAGCTGCCTGTCTTCCTGGCAATAGGTGCTCAAATCCAGCCCATGGTCCGGACACTTCCTCTTGGCCACTCGCTCCGCTTCCATCTCTATTTCGGGGTCAAATTCGCTTTCTGCCTCAGTTTCCCCTTCTGCCTCAGACTCTCCTTCTTGGTTGTCTTCCTCCGCCTCACTTTCCTGCTCATCCTCCATCTCTTCCTCGCTGTCTTCTTCACTCTCCTCATCACTCTCATCCTCACTGTCTTCTTCAGTCTCGCTCTCTTCTTCCGACCCACTGTCTTCCTCCGACTCGCTCTCTTCTTCCCCCACCTCGCTCTCTACCTCTCCCTCGGGCTCCTCTTTGGCCTCGACGTCTTCGGGGACC